CAACCTTCTGTTCGACAGAGATTGTACGACCTACAGATCTCCAAATGATGATCCAACCGTTGAAAACGTAGATACCGATGTTATGGAGAAACAATCCGAAAATCAAGATGATTCGACTGTTCAATCTCCGGGAATAGCCAAAACGGCGCGACTGCACGTTGCCCGAATATGCTGCCAAATTTTCTTCTTTTTTCACCTTTGCTCTGATACCCGTTGTTGGGAAATGATGCTCAAGATCACTCACATGAACACGACGACGATAAAGTAACAACAGAAAAAAGAAAGAACACACATGATTTTACGTGGTTTACTTGACCGGTTAGATCAAGCTAGTCCACAATCACACTAGTAAATATTTGATTGATATTGACGACTAGGGTTTACAATGTATAGGAGAAAAATAGGTTAAACTCCCAAGTGGGCCGGACCCAATATCTTGAGAGTTTCATTTCTCTAATATTTGGCTCAACTGTCAATTAATCAGACTCCATAACTTAACATTTGGGATAGGAATTGAGAAGAGGAATGCTAGGACATAAATTAAACTTAATTAGCGGCAAGAGGAACCTTCTTTTTGGGTTGCCAAAAAAATAAAAGTTCTTTATATGATTTTCATTTGTTAAATGATTTGCATCCCCAAATAATGGGGGCACTACTAGAAAACCAGGTATCAGCGACGAACATCAGGGAAGAAAAAATCCCTCGCAGATCAACGAGGGAAAAGCCAAAAACTCAATCCCTCGTTGATTTGCGAGGGATCAGCGAGGGAATCTGATTTTCGGCATTTTTTTATTTTATAACTACAAATTTAATCACTTATCAATTTTTAATTATTGATTATTAAATTTTCAATTATTTATTATTTATTAGAATATTACAAAAATTAATTAATAAAACCGAATAAAGCCCATTAAGGCCCATTAAACCGAATAAAGCCAATTAAAACTGAATAAAGTTCATTAAGGCCCGATAAACTCAAAATAGCCCGATAAATGGATTAAGACCCAATAAAATCGAACAAAGCCCAGTTAAATGGGTTAAGACCCAATAAAACCGAGCATGAATACATACGATACCTACATATAAAAATGTGTATATATAACACATAAAAAACAAGAAAAATAAGAAAATAGGACAATTCCCTCGCTGATCCCTCGTTGATCAGCGAGGGAATTGGCAAAAATCAGATTCCCTCGCTGGTCCCTCACTGATCAGCGAGAGATTAGCGAGAGAATTGACAAAAATCAGATTCCCTCGCTAATCCCTCGCTGATCAGCGAGGATCAGTGAGGGAATTTGATTTTCGCCATTTTTTTTATTTTATAACTACAAATTTAATTACTTATTAATTTTTAATTATTGATTATTAAATTTCCAATTACGTTGGTTATATTGTTATAAACTTTTTCATTACTAAAATTGCGAACAAATTACTGATTTTGTGGAATATTGAATATTTACAGGTAACGGAGTTGAGAGAGAAGTTGGCAAGGATAGAAGAGGAACTAGAGACCGAACAGAAGAATATGGCAGATTTGGAGGCCGAACATGCCAGACAAGCTGCTGCATTAGCCCAACATGCCGCATTATCGGAACATTTTGCTATATTTATGCGACAGTCATGATACGTTTTCCCACCTCCCCCACCTCCCGATAGTTAGATTGTATGTATTTGAAGATTAAATTGTATGAATTTAATATTTTAAATTGTATGAATTGGTTAGTTAAAATTTGTTCACATTTTTTGTTTGTTATATTATTATTTTCAGGTTTTTTTATAAATAAATACAGGAATTATGCAATTTCAAAAAAAATATTTTTTAAATTTATACAAATTAGCGACGGATTAGTGAGGGAAAATCCGTCGCTGAAAGTCATTGAAAATTCTCTCGCAAATCCGTCGCTGAAAGATCCGTCGCAGATCTCTCGCTGATCCGTCGCTAAATACTTCCCTCGCTGATCCGTCGCTGAAAGTGTTCCTCGCAAATCCGTCGCTAATCCATCGCTGATAGCATTACCTACGACTATTTGACCGACGGAGTATCAGCGACGAATTACTCTTTTAGCGACGGATTTGCTAGAGATTTTTCTCTGGCTGATACTCTATATGTTTGTAGTGGGGTATCTATGTACATAAATTTTGGTCCTCAACTTGCACCTCTTTCTGATCCTCTTCCAAATGAAAAAATGGGACTAGTGACGTCATGTTCAAAAGGGTAATCAAGGACCAAAATTGTTTATATCTTTAGTAAAATCATACTTTTTATAATCAAAGTTTACTTTATTTTATATTACAATAATCATTGTGTCACAAGTTACATAAATCCAAGTCTCTTCAACTGTTGGAAATAGAAAAGAGACTAACTTCATTGGTCTAAGCATGCATATTCCCTTATTAGTAGCGTCAAAATTTTACTATAGATTTTCTTTTCGCATACTGTAAATGGATATTTATAAAAAAAGGTTAAGCTTTTCACGAAGATCACATATTCTGGTATTGATATGTATGTTTTTGTTGACTTGATAGTAAAGATTTCTCTTCTCTCTCTCTCTCTCTCTCTCTATATATATATGTATATATATATATGCTTATCTTTCTAATTCGATTTAATTAAACTCTATTGAGGATAGTGATATGAAATTCAAGCTAATGGGAGAACATCAACGATACCATATTAAATTACATTGTGTGGTTTGCAAAACACTTAGCATGTTACATCTATTGTCTTTGAGGATTGATTGAAATTTTGGTTTTTACAAGGCAAGGTACTTTCTTTTGTATCACTATCATAGTCTTATAAACATATATATATATATATATATATATATATATATATATATATGGAAAAAAAAGAACATGAAAATGGGAACTCCAACTTGGAAAGGGGGCCACAAGGAATATAGATTAAAAAAAATGGTTCTAAAGGCTCTCAAGATGCTCAATGAAAGAATTTGGACTATTTATGGTGCATATGGATGATGATGATGATGATGATGATATTAGCGACATGATGATGATTGGATAATGATTTATGGTCCACTTTATCAATTTAATTATCATATAACTCATCAAAAATAGTTGCATCTTTTTCTTTAGTAGTTTCAAAATGGAACGTCTAATCAATTTTTCTAGTAAATCGATATTATTATTAGAATGGTAGACATATTTAGAGGCTGTTTACCGAAAATTTTATTATGTCCTGTATGGTTAAATGGATGTTGTTTACTTTTTTTATCTGAACCAACAGTCTGAATAACATAAATGATCGATTTACCCCCAATATTAATTATTTGAACATCAAAACAAAAAATCAATAAAGAGGCCGAAGATGGGGTGTCTGATATGAGAAGGAGACGGTGCTTTAAATAAGGGGTAGGGGTGTCATTTTTTGGCTGAATGAGAACAACACACAATTTCTATCTGTACGATTAAGTCATGTTCGGTGCGAATAAGCCGTAAGTAAACAACCCAAATGAGCTGTGCAAATAAACCAGATAGACCAATAAACCTAATTAAGCCGCAAGTAAACAACCCCTTAGTCTTTCATACTTAAAAGTAGTGTTTTGGCCTAGGGATGAAAATATAATTGAATTGCAAACCATATGGATGAAAACCAAAACTTTAAAACCAAAGGGACTAAATCCGCAATTTTAACTAACCTAGGAACAAAAAACGTAACTTACTTGAAACTAAATTAACAGTCGAGCTGAAATGGTGCATTTGGAACTTCCATGATTCTACTGAGTGAATCTATCTTCAACATAGGCCAGTGTCAAGCCTCAGAATCGTTCATTAATTTGAGTTATAATACTATGAAAGCATGAAGAAACGAAGAGTGTAGGAGACATTATGAATCTGAACACAAAAACAAAAATGTTAGGTTTCCACTAACACAATCATACGAATGCGTCGAGATTATTAGAAAAGAAGTGTGAAAGTTTACAAATTGAAAAAGGAATCAACTGCCCAATGAAATTAAGACGCATCATATTTTCTTTTGTTTAAATTAATTTAATCCATGTTTATTTACGTGTATTCATATGATTGGTGGACATGAAGGAGATACGAAGATTTGGGACGAGTGATTTTTATCCAGACAACCATACTTGCACGTCCTTCGCAGACTCCAAATATGGATGATTGGAGTAAGATGGAAGTGTTGATGCCAATCGTTAGTTAAATAGAGTTTTTGGCGAATCCGTACATGAAGATGATCATCAACCTAGCATTGTGGTACGACTTGAGAGGAGTTTGAAGATTGCCCTCTATTTTGCCATGAGAGGAGTTTGAATCGAAGCCCACATGGTAAGGATGATCGGTTGCTTTTAATTTATAAACTACAAGCATAATAGCACACAGAGATATTCATATAAAATAAAAATTGGTTGGTGGATTATGTCATCTAAGGTCATTTCTTAGCATGTTAAATGTGAGATTTTGAACAGGGCCTCCGAATTTTCGGGGCCCAAATTTACATGTGTTTAGGGTTTTTTATCGACCTGTGTAAAACCATAGCCGAAGTTATTTAGGTTCAAATCATTAATGGTTTAGGTTTAGTTTCAGATTATTAATCGTTTTAGGTTTAACCCAATTTTGTTCTAACATATATTATGTGTTATCTCATTTATACAATGTAATCAAAAGTTTCGGATGTCACAGTAACTCCAAACGTACCTGATGTCATCATATAATACAAGGGAACATGCAACTTTTCTCTGGCGTAAAGAGAATCATGTGGGAAGAGGTTTATTACCACATCTTTCCTCCAAAGTTCAGCCAAAACACAAACCTCTTTTCCTCATAATTTTGTAACAAAAGGCCAACAGCTTCATTTAACATTTACCGGACTGCCAATTGATTGAATTTTGAAGTAAAACTCAAAAGAATAACATAATGTTCTTGATTGTGTCCATTATTAGAAATCTTTCTTTGCACTCTCTCTCTCTCTCTCTCTGTGTCCAGGTCTCCTATAAATATAGAACCCTTTGGCGTTATGTCATGCATCACTTCCAATACTTTTCCTCTTACTCCTCTTCTTTGATCTGTAAGTATCAGTCTTTTCAAGATTCAAGAAATGACTTCGAATTCTACATGGAGGCAAAACAAGCTGTTTGAGAATGCGCTAGCTATCTACGACAAAGACACCCCTGACCGGTGGCAAAACATTGCAAAGGCCACTGGCAAGACGGTGGAGGAAGTGAAGAGACAATACCAGTTGCTCGTCGATGATGTAGAACAAATTGAGTCTGACAAAGTGCCCCTGCCAAGCTACAAAACCAGTGGAACCAAAGCATCCTATCAGCTTGAGAAAAGGTAATAAAACTAGAATCTGGATTCATATATATACACAAGTAATTGTTTGTGTTACACAAATCTGCATGCATCTTCCAGAGTATCATAGTTCTCTAAAAGTTGATATGTAACATCATATCTTATCTATGGCCTTGTCATAAGCAGGTTGAAGTACCTGAAGATGCAGTGACAGTAACAAGAGCAAGGAATGCTGATCAATATATATATATAAAGCTCCTTTGCCTCCTCCCTCCTTGTTAACTACGTCTTTGTCAATTTCCATCAAACATGAATTGTTGCTTTTTAAATAAATGAAATGAAGAAGGCTCCAACAGATTATCTTCAATGATGTTTGTATCTTATGTTGCTATATAGGATTATATAGATTCAAACAACTTTGTGAATGCCTTCAGGTGTCAATATCCTAGACTTCATTATGGATAGAAATACAGTGCATATTGCTCTAACGTCTCAAGAAAGAGATGCATGCAACAAACCATAGCAATCTAGGTAGTACTCAACTTCATGAAGACGAACAGTGAATCTGGTCTAGATTCGTATAAAAAACTCTTTTTAACCTTATTTTCATTACTTCAAGCATTATCATGTGATACTTTACTAGGACCCAAGAATTTGAGTAGAAAAACAAACTAAGTGTCGATTGCATTGATTTCAATAAATTACTGTTGCATAAGGGTGCAGGAGATAAGAGTAGACCCCAAATAATGAATCCCGAATCATCAGATTCCATACAAAGAGATTATTGATATTTGAAATGAAACAAGTCAGCTGTATACTACGTCATTTGTAGGTTTTTCTTTCTTTCATCAAAGCATAGGATCCAAGTTCTCTATCAAACCAACAAAGAGTCAAACAGAACAACGAATCAGCAGAATAAATGATATAACTTCCACACATTTTCTATAGCTCTGTTCATGCCTTTTCTCAACTAATTAAACATATCATCGTCGTCATCCATACAGTTAATATGGGATGCCTCTATTTTTATCATTATCTCAAATACCAGAATAGTTTCTCAAGATAAGTTTTGAAATGGCATCGGAGTGCATTATTATGCCAGGAATCGCAAACAGATCATGACGTGAATGGCACTCTGTGAAGCCCGAAACTGGTCATGCCTTACTTTACTAATTTCTCGGTTGTAGCTTTAGTCAGACCGGTCATGATATGGACCTGGACCTTAAGCCGGCTTCCTGAAGACGGGTTCATCTTGACAGTTGCCAATCTAGAGAGAAGAAGCAAATGTTGCTTCCTTATTATTATCCGTTCCCTAAGCATAACCAGCATTATGCATGCATGTTCCTGCATTTTAGAGTTAGTGGCAGTAGCTTAGTTTAGTTGTTAGCAGTTTTTCATGTTTGTTCTTATAAATAGTGTAATTGTTAGCCTCGAGGATAAATCAGAAAATTGCCAAAGTCTTCCTCTTCCTTTTGTATTTCTTTGAAGACCACCCGTCTCAAATCGGGTTTCTATCAAGTCACACTCGTCATACGAGAGGAAGGATCATGCGAGAAGTAAAAAATTTACGAGAAAGCGAGAATGTTCAATATCATATATGATTACACTCCTTTGGATGTGTTTAATTATATATGATTAAACTTGTATATCATGCGTGTAATTATATAAGATACGTTAACATCTTGAATGACTAATCAACATCTTGACTAGCCAACATCCACTTTAGTAGAAAAGGACACCCTTGTGAGCTGTGACTAGTTTATGTTCATTTGTCGTCCTAAATGTTATTAATGCAAAGCAAACACAAATTTGGCAAATACCAAATAATGGTGATTGAACCTCAAAAATGGAAGTAAAGTTGTGAGAGTTGAAAAGAAGGGACCCACAATTGAATAAGATGTCCACCCTCGCTAGAATTCCTGAATGAGATAGAAGATTCGAAGAACTAAACAAGGATGATAAGGAATAAGAAATATTACTAGCTTGACCTATCTTATTTTTGGGGCATCACCTTTATCATTCAGATAGCTGAATCACCAACAGCCATATAGTTTTATGTAATATTGACTTAATACATCTAGTTTTCATCACCTGTGAAAGGTTTATTAGAAACTAGAAAAAGTATCAATTTCTATGTGTAGGGTTGTGTATGATCATAACACAGAAAAAAGGATATGAATTTAAATTAAAAATCAAAATTCTGTTTGATGCTTAGATTCTTGTTTGTAGGATATGAGTTTAAAACCACTTAAAATCTGTATCTAAGTATTTGAATGCAAGGTTAGAAGTAGTATATTTATATAATACATGCACTGCAACAAAATTGAGTTTATAGGAAGTGACCCAATAGACCGTTTTGTAGGACTTAATTTATAGGACCAAAATATAAAGCGTCGTATATAAAGGTGTTGTAATAAGTTTATATGACGTTTTTGGGCGTCTCAACAAGTTTTTTAAGACATTTTTAATACAAAGTGTCGCATTAGGACATTTGTTTTTATAGGACAGTTTTTCAAATAGTGTCCTATAAAGTTGCTAATGAGACGCTTTATATTAAAAGTGTCCTAAAAAACTTATTATGACATCAAAAAACGTCATATAACTTATTACAACGCCGCTTTATTTTTTTGGTCCTATAAACTAAGTCTTATAAAGAGGTCTATTAGGACACTTAGAAATTGGGAGTGTCCTATAAACCCGATTTTGTTGTAGTGATGCATGATAACTTGACAGAACCGGTAAAAGACTACAATATGTGATGACATCTAATTCATGTTCAGAATACCTAAATATAGCAGGATATTATTTCAACATAGAATGATTTGTAAGAACAAAACATGGCTCAGTTGGTCAACGAACAAAGAAGGAAACTTTAACGCGATTAGTCCCGCGAGTGAAATGATGTCGTAAGAAATATCAAAAAGAGTGAACAGCAATTCAAAGTGATTATGTCATCATCATGAAAGTTGCTTGTACCATATGGAGATCTTATCACACCAAATATATTCACATAATAAAGATGATCTGTAAATACCTTCAAATATTAGTTGGTAATGTTGATGTGCTACATTTTACCAGAAAATAGTTCATGTTTGAAGAAGCAAGCCCCAACTAGGTTTTATACCTCAAGTGTCATAACTTGTAGTTAAAAATGTAATCCGGTGATGATGAAATCTAAATCGCAATACGACACATATATATTTTATGGTAAATTCACTAATGGGAATAGTGACAACTTCTTAATTTTCAGGAATACATGACACTGATTCTACAGATTTATGATATCGCAGCTTAGGTTGATTGGAAATTTGTAATCATGCCATTAGATTTGTCGTGTTAAAAAGGATCGACGTAGACTTAGGCACCAGACCATAAGACATACACCACAAAATGGAGTTTCGGAATGGACCAACCAAATTAAGACTCTTACAGCGTGCAATATGCATCCGGCTAAATGCTAGACTTTTCGAACAACTTTGGATAGCGATTGTCGCGTTACACTTTGTGTTTACAAACAAATCTAATGTCGTTTCTCTACTGTGACTTTGTTCTATAACTCATTCGGAGTTCAGCAATAAATTATCGTTAAATAAAACACTAAAAATTAGAAAATGACTACCTTTCATTGGCCAAAATGTGCATATTCCCTACTAAGATACTAAAACCTCAATAAAGCAAACAAATTTGTTTTTCCTTATGAACAAATATTTATAAAGGAGTAATTAATACTGTTTACAAAGATCACTTATATATTCTGGTATTGATGTCAATGTTCTTATCAATTATCATGGGCAACGTCATTATTTGATTCTATGTATTTATAGCTTTTAATTTGGATTTAACCTATTGATGATAAACGATCGAAGGAGAATCTGTTTAGACTGAAATATCCAATTCTAGCTACTAAGACAACACTGGGTCAAAGAGTGAAATAAGTAACCTCTTAGTTCAGTCTATCATATCACCATCATTTGTTTATGGATACTAACAAAAATGTTATGCCGGTGCCAAACGGATAATAAGGAGTTTTTGAAATAGTTAAACCCATCTAACTTATAATAACTTAATAAGGACTTTTGTTGAAAATCATAAGTTGTTTTAAATAATTATTAATTTGTTTAGTTTGGTATATTGGTTGTCATCTTATATAATTAATTATCGAGTCTAGTCAAAATCAACGCTCCTGTTTTATGTGCCATTGTGAAAGTGAAAGTGACTACGAGAAATGAGATGACAACGTGAAGAAACTATCTAGGAAACTAGTGCAAAAAGGAAATTAACAGACTGAAAACATAACACACTAAAGAAAACGAAAATTCTTCACTAGTATTATTTATGATTGTATTAACGGCTTAATGCAGCGTAAGAGAGGGTATATGTATGTTAGTTTAATTCCTAGCTTGCATTGCAACGTCTAAGATGCCAATATGTTGGAATGTCCAAAACAAATGAACAGCGTGACATTTGGATCTAGAAATCCAAACGATTAGCTCAAACAAGAGCATTGAGTGTATCCACAAATCAGGATGACCAGAAAATCCTGATCAGGGCTATCCATAAACTTGACTTTGGGCTATACTAACCTTACGATGGAGCCTTTTTGTTTGCACACTATAGCTCTTTGAATAGGACTCGTTCTCCTTCTATTGGAGTTACTTTTAGGAAAAAATTTATAAGCCATTGATTTGGATTCTCTAATAATCATATGCTTCTTAAAAAAGTTAAATATTCTGTTTGTTACGAATACACATCAAACAGTATATGCACAACTTGGTTCAACTTTACAAATAACGATTCCTTTTAGCGCAATGCTCTTTAATACCCTTTTGCCCCTTCATATCAAAAAAAGAATTTCGATGATTTTTGGTCATGGAATCTGGCTAATTATTAATTCTATTATGATGATGATGATTTGTTGGTACTATGCGATATTTAAAATTTACAATAAAAAAACAAAGAAAATGTGACACACCTTATTGTTTTCTAGTCTTTGAGCTCGCCATCATCAATAAGTTTAATTTATGACTCTGAACTACATCGATTATCATAAGCGTAGTATTAATTCTGTATCAAATAAACACTACGCCTAGATATTTTGATTGTTGGTGGATGCAATCTGAATTTCTCCCTCCTTAATTACCTATATATAACCTCTAATGTGTGTTGGATATCGTAATAAAAGAATATATTTAATGAGGAAAAAAGCCTTTGTTTATAGGTGGAGCTAGGTTATCTTTAGATTTAATCTTAACCGTCCATCAAGATAGAGATATCAACTTAGGAAAAATTAGGTTTATGTCGGTAACAGTCCGACGAAAAAATCCTTTGGACCCTGTATGGTTGATAACACATCACCAGCATGTAT